ATTTGCTCTTTTCAGAAACCTTTCTAAAACACGGTTAAAAGTTCACTAATACGATGATAACTTGCTTTTAAACGGTCATACCGATAAAACATTTAAGAGATTTTCTAGTGTTAACCAGGTCAACCGTTGTCGTCCCAATATATATTCAAACGATGGCTATCATCAGGTCATCTCATTTTTTCTTAACTATAATCAATTTTTAATTGATAGACATTTGCCTACTACTATTCTTATACTATAGATATAACACATACTCTTATAATGAAAACTCGAAAAAGATTTCCTTTGGATTAACCTATCGAATTAAGTATGTTTTTTTTCTTTTTTTATGAATAAAATTCTTTACTTTTTGAAATAAAATAAGTAGATAAGATTAAATTAATGTAAAGCATAATATATTTTAACATTTGATTGACAATAATAATTGAGAATAACATGTTTGTATACTACTATTTCAGTTTTGATCTATTTTATAAATATCTAATATAGCTGATTTATTTAATAAAGATTATTGATAAACGTTCGAGTTACTTTGTTAAAAATCGAATTGAATAAAATGCTCTTCATAATGGTGAACGATATTCTAATTGAAATCGATTTATATAAATAATAAATATAAGTATAATTGATCGTAATCTATATGTTTAAAAATCTTCAATCAATTATCATTGTTAATATGTCATCCATTGAATAAGAGCAGGTAAATCAGCTATAGTAAATGAAGGACGACGATCATCAAATATAAGAGTGTCCATGTTGACGATGAAGAGTAGGAAATGTTCGAGGTGATATTGCCGGTCGTCTACGATAAACCATTGAAATAAGAGTTGATTTACCATCATTTGGATAATCAACAAATCTAAATTGTTGTTTTTTTTTTATTAAAATACTTAGTGAAATCCCTTTCACAACAGTTGATAAGATATGTTTTTTTTTATTTAAATTATCTTGTTAGTATGAGTATCATTGAGAATAATTGGAAAAAGAATCTTTAATGGGATCGAATTTAAAAGGTAACTGTGCGAGTTTAGATGACATTAAAGTTGAAAAACAACTGATATAAAGATTAAAAAAAACATGTTGATTATAGGTGATGATAGTGGACTTTTATTAGTCATTTGAGAATGATCCATAAACGGATGCCAACGAAATAAATGAAAACGGTGAGAGAGATCTCGACGTTGAGGCATAGTGCCGGTAACATTTGATCTAATCCGAGTAGGTTCGTTTTCTAGTGGTCTCGATCTATAGAAAACTATCTGAGAATTAATTTGTATGAGATCTAAAGAAACTCTTCAATAGAAGATAATTTGGTTACAATAAAATAATATTAAATTAATCTTTAGGTTTGTTCGAAACAAGTTTTTTTTTCTCATGATATCGGAACTAAAATTGCTCCTGCAAAGTTTCACTTCTGATGTTTATCACGATGCGTTTTGCCGTTTTTCTTTTTAAGGATTTTTCGCAAAATTTTCAAGTTAAATTGATATTGATCAGTAGTTCGAAAGGAAGAGTTTCTCATAAATCTATGAGATAAATTGTCTATATTAGTCGTTTAATATAAAAAATAAACGAGAATATTATAAGAAATGCTATTTTTATCAGGACGTCCTCTATCTATGCTTCCTCACCTGCTCTATCTACAAAACGGTCTCGTTTTTCTCTAACGATATCTTCCTATTCTTTTCACAAAAAAAAAAATTGTTTCACGATACATAATCTAAAGTTAGATATTTATTTCGTTATTCTCTTTGAATATCTTGTTTTATTCAATTGTAGAGCACAAGACAAAATAATTGACTAAATTCTGTCTTGTTTCAATAAATCTATTATATAAAATCGAATAGACACATTATACAAACGATGATCATGTTATGGAACTGAAAATAAACAGTCATTCGAAGAATAATAAGATGGTGATCACCTAGAAATTTCTTCATCCGTTTCGGATGGTATATGAATTCATATAAACAATATTTCCTCTATAGTATAATAATGATTGTTTTTTTTCCCGTAACATTTCATATTTATTTTTCAATTTAAACAAAAAAACTGACTTGATAGAAAATCAAACTGATTACCAGCAAGTTTTCTAATAGGAAAAATTGAAGAATATTTTCATATCGATTTATAAGATTAGATTTAAAATCTGAAAAAAGAAAACGGCAAACTAATAAGTATTTTTAGTGTTCGTTGTTTGATTCTATATATCAATAAAACGACATTGTTTTATCATATACGATCTTTATTAGTTATTTATTGCTTTTAACGAGATCATCGAATATAGAGTGAACATTTCTAGATCATTTATGCTGTCTATCATCTATCAACAAGTTTACAAGAATTATTCTTAAATCAGTCAATTGACATAGCGTCTTTGTTTCTTTTATATAAATAAATGTGTAAACCTCGGATTTAAACCGGAGAGTTATCTGTACTTGAAAAAGTGAATGAGATAGATGATTAATCCTAGAATGTCTCGACAAGAAAAAATATCTTGACAAATCTTTTCTATAAACACTTGATTTTTATTGTCTACTGGTCAGCTAATAGGATTTCGAGTCAAGTCGAGTAGAGATTCGAGTTCTCCGCCCTAGAAAACGTCAAGGTATCATCTCTTTGATCGTTAGATAGAGAGATGATTTGTGGATGAATTAGACCGCGGATAAAAAGAGAATCGAATTCGATTTAATTTTCTTTTCAATAGGTCAGTTACCTTTCTTGTTTATTTATGTTTTCTATACTATTTTCTTGATCGGGAAATTCTCTATCGAATGGTTTCGAATAATTGACCTTTTATTTGACTATGATGGGAAAAGTTTTTAATGAAAAAGAAGATAACTAGATCTTCGCATAGGAAAGCATAAGGAATAATGACTAGTTTTACAATAACTCAACAATGGTTTGGCCAATCATTCTCATCTTCTTCTCTCGACTGAGATATTATTGAGACAAAACTGTCTAGAAAATTTCATCGCGATCGGACTCTCCTTTCAAAAGTTATCGTGTAAACGGACGGACACACTGACTGATTCTAAAGTCTATGAACTTTTTCAGTACACAAAAAAGTGTTTAGTTGACATGAAATGATTTGAAGTGTATGTTTGTTATATTGATTGGAATTGGTCGAAAGCTGAACAAGTGCATCGAATTGACAAATTAATTGTTGAATATATTGAAATCGACGTTTTTCACAAAGATTTAATAGTGAATTAATTCTATTAGAAAAAGATGATATTTGTTGTTTATCAGTTAAATAAAAATAGAATAAAAAATATCTTATTATCAAATGGAATAAAATAGTTTCTCTAACAAGAAGAGGAATGGATTTTTCAGCTCTATTCATATATTCATCGATTTGTTGTTTAGTTTCGATTAATTGTTAAATATTATAGTTTTGAATAAATATCATATTGACTAATTTAATTAAATTTATCTTGAATTAAATCTTTATCTATTTATGCTTTATGAATAATATCAGTTAAAGATTTAAATTGATTATTTTCTGTATTAAGAAAATCTTGTGCTTGTTTTTCTATCTAATAATGCTCGTTATTATTCATCACAAATACCTTCAAATGTTATAATAATCAATTCGAGATTCAAATTCACTTTGAAGATTTTTTCATTTTTTTCGAATATCTTCACATTCGATTTCTTTTTCACGAATCTTTCATTCTATTTATTAATTATTTTTATTTTCGAAATTAAATTAATTATTTTACCTGATTGATCAACACGAACAATTAATCAATCAATATTATCACGTATCTCTATAAATAAACGTGTTTATTATATAAAACGAATCGATTTATATGATTTTTTTTAATTTAAATCAAATTAAAATTGATTAGAATTAGCTATTTATAGATCGTTTCCTCACATAGATAACTCAATTTAAATAAGAATTAAAAAAAAAACAAAGCAAAACCTATTCTTTATCCAACAATTGGCCATTAAGGTAAAAGAGTTTGTCGAAAAAGGTATATGAGATAATAATGATTAAGATTTTATTTGAAAAGAGTATCGATTTATCAATAAAACATAATTATATGTTTGGACAATCTCCTTATAGAAATCGAAATATTTATTATTTTCTATGATAGTTAACGTCGGAAAATCTTCTTTTTTTTTTATATTTTTTCTAATAAATAAATAAAAAATAGATGATATTTAGTTAATATGATATGATCATATTAACTAATAAGAGTATTTAAACAAGAAATCGAATATATTATAGATATTTATCTATGAAAGTTAAACTCGATAAAATAATATTTTCTCGTAAAATATCTCAAAATAATTCTTATTATGTATTTATTCAAAGAGAAATAAATCTTTTATTTATATTCAATAATCAACATTTCTAATGAAAAATCTCCTTTTCTAATATAATTCAACTCGATTTATTCTTAAGAATTTATTAGATTTATTGATTTATCGACTGTTAGATATGTTTACACAACATCTTATAGAGATATTCAGACGAACGATAATTTACTTTTTTTTTCTATAGTTTATTATTTTAGAAAAAAAAGGTCTTGCCTACATTATAATAAAATGTTCCTATTAAAAAAGTAAATATCTATTGTTGGTTTTCTAAGAAGCATTTATTTAATTTCTATTCAATTATAGAAGAGAATTAGAACTGAATAAAAAAAAGATTTTATGATAAATAAATCTCGTTGACTATAAATTATAAATAGACATGTTTAGAAATTGATTTATTGTTTATTCTAATCGATTATATATAATGATAATGATTTAACTATTATTAAACCAATGTAATTATTCTAGTTGACTAAATAAGATTTATTTCAATAGTATTATTTATCGATTAATATATAATTAATCGATGATGTGAATAAATCATATATTTATTTAAATAAGTTAATTTTTATTTAGTAAAACATAAAAATAAATAAGATGACTAAAGTGACATATATAGAATAAACATCTGACTATCGACTTATTATAATATAACTAATAATAATTTGACTATGTCTGTACATTTTGAAATACAACCACTTGATCGTAGTCTTGGCTATATGTTTATCTATAAATTTAATGGTACACCTCATTTGAATAGTTCGAAAATAAATATTGATGGATGGTCTTTATTCTGTCCATTGAGTAAGTATTATTATTATTATTATTCTATTGAAAAAATTAATCTTTGTAATAGATTTAACAAAAGATGGTATTTATAAATATTTTATTGATAATCGAAAAATATCACATCATAAATTCATTGTATTTGGTTTACGAGAATTAAATTCAACAGAAATTGATGATTTCTATCAAAATACATTAATCAGTAGTAGTCCACCTATAATTGATGAACCTTTGAATTTTACATCTGACTATAGATTACTTATTTATACATCTGGTTGCTATTATCTTGATGAATATAATAATTGGCAATCCGATGGTTTATGGGTATGATTAAACTTATTTTTAAATATCTATTCAACATTTCTATATATTAAATAGGTTGGTGCATTGACAGATTATTATAAAACACAATGTTTCTCTACTCATTTAACTACATTTGCTAGTAGTTTTCAAGTTTTATCTTTTTCGATTCATAAAAATGAATTTACCTATTCGTTGAATGACAAATTTGATCTTAAAAGACATCTTACGCAATTCAATCAGTTAGAATTGTTTACAAGACATAAATTTTTTAGTCATGAAGAATATATTTTCAAACAAATTGATCAACTTTGGGTAAGGTATTTTTTTTTAATCAGCTATTTAATAATCACAATCAGTAAATGTTTTTCTCTCAATAGAATGATACGACAAATGACAAAGAATTTGATCCTTTTCAATTATCATTTTATCAGATGTGCAGTAATTTGGAACTTCAATAATGCATCTTAATCGAAATCAAGAATCGAACAATCTCATTTATTCATAAAATGCCCATATTTTTCTAATTTGCATTCAATAAATATTGAATTGACATCTCAGCTATGTTTAGTTTTTTTTAAAAATATTCAATACAGATCAAAGCAATTCGTCAGTTATTTTCCTATATCTAAATATATGGATGTCTATACGAAATTTTAAAATATTTCATAAAAATGAAATGATTTTCATACAGAATTTTTTCATTTTTTTTTCTTTGTACATCGTCAATTAGATTTAATATTTATACTGCATATACTAGGTGATATAACTCAAAGATGCAACATATGATCAGTATCTAGATGTAGTAATTTTCAGAACTAGAAAATGACACAAACATACAATAATAACGTACTTGTGAAATATTTTTAACAATGAAATTTTTCACAAACATTGCTTAATCTGTTCACCTTCTAAGTCTTTGCAAAGCTGCAATTGCTCAGGTACTGACTGACGCACTCTGTAATAATATCATCCTTGAATGCTTGAAGAGTTCGAGATCTTTGATTAAACTTCGTACAAAGAAATTAGTTCACGTCGACTGATTCATCGATTAGGAAACTTTTTATCCAAGAAGTTTCACACAGACTAAGCATAATGAGCTGGAGCTCCATCCTGCATATAGAATATTTCTTCGAAATTCATTCAATATTCAATTATGTTGATTGATGTGTCCATTCACCTTGAATGCAGCTTCGTCGGTTCAAACAATTCGATCACGCAACGAAGAGTTGTCAAAAACCAAGTTCTGAAAAATATCGGCAAATTCACATCGTTGATTGGAGTCATCATCATTCAAAGCATGTAGTAAGCGAGGATGATGAGGTTTCAATCCTAACACCTTTATCATTCGTTGGGTAAATGCGTATCACTTGATAACCTGAATTCTTTCTGATGTGGTCAGCTGTAAGCGTTCACCTATGATTAAAAACAATCTGAAAACGATTCAACATTATTAGGTTGCAATGATCATTTACTGCCAAGAATATAAAGAGAACAAAAAATGAATCAGTAGATGAAAGAGTAAACCACTTGTGCTACCGCTAGCACATATATAAATACTAGTAGTGAAGATAAAATAATATATATTGTGATAACAAAACTATAACTGTTAAGCGCGTTTCCTTACTTTTAACTGTCCTGTATTTGTACGCTTTTGAACAAATTATTACATCCAGATACTAATCATATGCTGCATCTTTGAGCTATGTCACCTAATTAGTATATGCGATATAACTGACGATATGCAAAGAAAAAAACAGTGAAAAACTTCTGTGTTAGACTACTATTAAGCCACCCTGTATATATGTATATGATTAATAAAATATTAATTGTATTTATGAAAGTTTATGTAGATTGAGATTGTCCATAGTCAATGTAGCAATAGTATCTTTATCTAATTGAATTGCATTCCATATAATATTCAATGATGGTGTTTTGATTTTGTATTCTTGTAAGATTTTGCCATCGGAAGAAAAATGTAAAAGACGAGGTTGTAATAATTCCATAACAATCCATTGATCATTATTTATTGAACAACAATGAACAACTGCATTGAGTGGAATAGACCATAAACGTTCGAATGTTATTGATGAGTATAATCCGAAACATCTTTGAAAAGCATGAATATTCGAAATAATAAGAGCAATTTTATCATTCGCACAAGTAAATGTAAGAGTACCTTCATATCTTGAGTATAAAGCCAATAATTGCCATTCTCTAACAAATGCAATTGTTGGCCGAAGCGTATATTCGTAGAGAGTTGTAGACATATCTCCAGTTGATAAGTATAAAGAAGTATCTGAACATGATCCGAATGACCATTCTTTGTCATTAATAAGATCAATCTGACATTGATGAAGTATCATTGTATTATCATCGAAAGTGGAAATAGTTTTTTCCGTAATAAGAATAAATTGATCGGGTGTTGACGACCAACAAATATCAACATGAGCATAGGTCCATGGTATCTCTTTAACAATAGTTAGTTGTTTATCAAATAAACATAAATTAGGTTCTTGTTTTAGTATTATATGTTTATCATTACAGGCTATAGATACAGAACTTTTGTCTTTTATTTTAATAGTTCGATATGGACGTTGAAATGGAAAAAGATTTTGTTGCTGTATTTTCTGTTGAAAATTTTTTGTCATTTTGTTGTCTCGTCTAGATTTACCGGCATTTAGTTCGACTTGTTGATGATTAGTTATTTCTTCAGATTGTTGATTATTTTCATTATCGAGATGCTTTATTCTTTGAAAAATATCTCTAAACCATTTGTTAAGAATTGTAAAACAAGATCGTTGTGTTACAGATAGATTAGTAAATTGTACGGAAACTAAATCTATTTCATTGACTAATCGAGGAGATTCATTTGAACGTTCTTGAAAATGATCATTATTTAATGTATGAATGGAATGTTCGCACATATCTATAGAGGATGAACGTTGTGAAGAATGAGGTTCGAAGGAGAGTTATGCTTGCCTATTGTATTTATCGTTGATTGGCCTATACTCAATAGAATATAATATTAAGTTCATTTGACAACATATGAAAAAATAGAAATTATATACACACGTAGTATTCCACTCTTTCATTTCTATTTCATTAACACTTTTTATCAAAAATGTATTGATACGTGTGCCTTTTTTTCATCTATCATATTCATATCAAATAATCAATAATCGAAGATTAGACACATGGTTAACATAAAAATAAGAACATCTGTTCGATTTTCTACTTCGACTACAAGAAATTTACATCAAAAAGTAAGCGATGAGCTAGCTAAAACAATACAGTTTCTATTCACAAAAATTTTGTCATTCAAATAAAGATTTTTTGTATAATGACAAATAGAAAGAAATCACTTAATTCATTATATTGAAACGATGAAGGTATTTAAATTCAATTTTTAATTGAAATATTAGATGAATGATTAGTAACATATATTTTTTTCCTTATTCTTATTTATTCAAATATATATCGATGATTTCCAATGTTAAATTACTCATATAGGTAAAACAGATTTTTTTTTATTGACTGTTTAACATCTATCAATAAATATTTCAATGTCATCGTTGATAAAGTAATAACTTTCCAAAATGATTGATGTTCTACACTTTGACTTTAACCTAGGTGTTGTTAATTAACTATTGAAGATGGAATATATAACGGGTGGTGTATAAAAAATGAGTCGAAATGTCTGTTTTATATTTTCACATCCTTTATAACCAATAGAACAACGAAGACGTGTAAAATAGTCCACTGAGATTATAATGTTTGATAATTTATCAAAACAAGCCTCAATAATCAATCGGATGACTTTTATGCGAGTACAGAATTGAAGAGCAAACATTACACGACATGTTGATATCTTGCAAAGATTTATGCAGTCAGTTGTTGAGCTTACGATAGTGATTTTACCAAAGGCCTTCACGAAAGCAAGGTTGGGATTCAGAATTTGTCCTGTCTGCATTCGAGCGTTTCGTAAAGTTTCCACTTCAATTCAATAACTAATTACATATGAGCTTGCTGCATATCACAACTCTATACTCTCATAAAAGTCATTCGATGACAATATGCGACATATGTATGTTCACGGTGGACTATTTTACACGTCTTTATTTTTCGTGGTTTTTTATTGGTTATAAAGGATGTGAAAATTTAAAACATATATGGGGTTTTGTAGAACGAAAAATTCTCTATCGAATGAGCCTAGAACGAAGTCTTCCGTGAGAAGCAAAGTGGTCTAAAAAGATCGAAACATTTCGACTCATTTATTATGTATGCGCCATCCGTTATTTTTGCAAAAAAAAATTAAATATAGTAATCAAGTGACAAAAAACGAAATTCAATTATTGATAAGATTCCTAGGATTTAAACTGACGATTTGTCAATTGCGAAGGAATGGTTTAAATTGCAATGGATGAATTTTGATAGATTCGCACTGTAAAAAATGCCATGTGTCTTACAAGATGGTTCACCCGTCTTAAGTCTAGTTTAGACGCGTACTAGACACGTAAAATGTCTTGTTTTTAGACATATGCATGAAAAGACAGGAAAGCGTCTTAACGTTCTCTTTCTCATAACCCATTGTTATCACAAGTGACCAATGGCTCGCGTTGTTTTTATTTCTTTCGTAGTTTTATTAATATATGTTTAAAGGTGAAAAAAATAATTCCGAAGTGANATACCGAAAGACATTCCAGGAGTGGATTAAAAGGATGAAACTTTGTACTGAACATCATGGGGACTACTTTGAACATTTACTGTAAAAAGATTAGTAAAATGTTTTTTCTATGAATAAATATTTGAAAGTCCGAGAACTTATTGACTAACCTATGTATTTAATTTTGGCTATTGTATTCACAAACATTAATAAGGTCGAATTAGTTAATAATAAAGCTCTTTGTATTAATTGTTATTTAAACTTGTACAAATATATATCTATCAAGAAAATAAAACTTTAACCATCTATCATTGATGTCAATCTTTTATTTGGAACTCTTTGTCATTTTGTGTGTCAGCTATTACTTTTTTTCGCTTATTTATTGCAGAAACGATAAAAAATCGTCATTGTTTTGGACAAATGTCGATCAAATCAAAGTTAACATAGAATATCACGAACGCATAATCTGACATCGAACATGAGCTATTGTCTCATAGTGATTTTATTCCTGATTTTTATATTCCCATTACGTCTTCCCACGCACTCGCATAATCTCTTCTCAAAAAAACCTACAATTGCACATCCAAAGACAGGTCTCTTTCTTGACTATGTTGGGTAATATATACCACCGGAAGAAATTATTCATACATCGGCGATTTTTCCAATGACCACAGCTACTTGTCACTTTCTGCCCTTGTCAGCTGCAAAACTCATCCCTTCCTGCAATATCACAAAAAAAAGAACTAAACGCTACATCGACTCTATAAGTTTAGGTATTGCATCTGTAAGTCTTGCTACGTCAATAGCAAATTCGGCACTAATTGCAAAACTTTATCAACAAGTAGCACTTCTTGAAAACTCTCTATCAACATTATCTCAAACAGTAGAACTATATGGAGCACAATTAGCAAAAATTTCGTTCAACCATATAGAAATCATTGAGGAGCTTTAGGTAACACAGAAAGCTCTTAATGACATGATGCCTATCTTAAAGTCACATTCCGAGGCCATCCAAATTCTTAAAATGGATCTTGAACGCCTACATGTCCAGTTTTATCAATCCTTTCTTTATTCAGCGATAACTCAAATATATCGAAACGAACTTACACTCAGTTTTTTGTCACCAGAAGACGTATATAAAGTGGTATATCATGTTATTAAGCAAGGAAATCTAGCATTTAATTCGTACCCTGAATCACTTCCAATCGTTCAAATTATTACTAAACTTCTTGTTCAACAGCAGATAAATTTCATTCCTAGTTCACACTATATGACCGATGATCCAGAAGAAATGGATAACCCAGAAGAAATCGATCGTCTTGTCATTACTAGTTATTTCGCCGTTCCAAAACAGGCGCAAACGCCTTTCTATATCTACAAATTAGTGACAATCCCCTTCTGTCATACAGATGAAGTAATCGAACTCGCTCAAATACCTCGATACTGGGGAATTGATCTAGCAAATAACACCACTATGGAATGGCATAATCGTGAAGAATCTGGTTGCGATCTTCAACTGATGACATCATGCCCTGATAATCCACCTATTCGAACGATCTCAAAAGATACTTGTTTGGATGAAATTGTAGAAAACCTCCCTCTATCTAAGTGTCAAACAATACCGGTCCCTGCTGATAAATATTTTATCCGACACTTAAGAGATAATCTTTGGATTACTTCGTCATCTAAACCAATACACTGTGTGAAAATTTCAAGGAATAAATATTTCCATGCCACGCAACAAATTTCCAGCATAAATGAGGAAATAATACTTCCACCTATTGCTATTGTAAATGCAACTGAAGGTTATATAATTGCGTGCCCTGGCTTCACTTTAGTAGGCCGTCCCGTAACTTCAAACGCCTCTTCACTCGTTATATTGCATCATAACGGTTCATTTATTAAAAACATCTCTGTTATGAATGTTCATCAATATATCACCGAAAATATGACACGGTTCAAAAAGAATGTAGCCGAACAAGAAAGAAAAGCTTTTATAGAATTTATAAACCAAAAAAATGCTCTTTCAAGATCTTATACTCCTCTCTCTACTTATATTGGACCTTTTGGTGCGCTAACTTTCAACTGGATTCTTATCGGATTGGCTGTTTTAGCATATTATGTTTATCGGCGTCAACGATCAAGTTGCCGAACAAATCGTTGACTTACTTTCGCTTTCTAATTACTGAGCGAAAGGTACTGCGTAAATAATCGATTAAATGAATGGAAGAGAAAGAGCTGTCTTTTTTAGGTAACCATATCCTGTCAAAATATTAGTCGTACATGTTTCCTTGGATAAATCATGATTGTGAAAATCCCTGTTCGTGTCGTAGTATGATTGATATTGAAGTGAAATCCATTTTCCCAATATGTATTATTTGCCTAAGTTAAACACATCTGATAATAATAATTATATAGATTCGCATTCTTTTCGTACTTGAACTCAAGAATCGTTTTTTTATCAAGTGTTTCTAGGGATTGGTTAACATCTGTCTATAATTTAAAATTAATTGTACATATTACAATGCTTCTTCTTTTTATTATACAGCTCAAAGTTTCATTTTTCATGTACAATCTCTTTAATACTAGGTTTAAACTTTTTGCATAACGTCGTCTTTGAACCTGTTCTCACTAGTAGTTCAAATGTCATATCTAATATTCGCATATTGATTATTCGTGAAGTCTATATCTCAGTACTTCATTTAGAATCTATTTGATAATGACTTTTACTGATCAAGATAGAAGTCATAGTGTACTAAAAATGTTTTTATATCTTTATGAAATACAATCGATTGTAGTAGAAATTTTTTTCCAATAAACACAATATTAATATACAAAGGTGAAAGCTACTTTTAATTATATACTTCGATCATTTGATCACCTAACTGGGCTTTATGTGCGCCTAGCATGAATCGTAACATTACTCTCGGTGTATACAAAAATAAAAATAAAAGTATTTTAAAATTCTCATCAATTTTCAGTATAACACGTCGAGTATTTATCAATGAACATGAATTACAGCAGAAACACCACTTCTTCGTTATCTAGTGTTGTTCTATATGCACTGCAATCAACAATACATTCTAATCTCTACATAAAAGTTTTTTTCTACGAGAAATATTGGTTAGTATGACCACTGAGAGAGCTATGATTTATGAAAATTTCAAGGTTTAACAGTTGTATTATTATATGCAATTTCATTCAATCTAACATCTACATAATCTTTTAAAAGAAATAGATTAAGTCAACTATTGATAATCAATGTCGACCAAGCTATAACGGTCATTTTTTACAATACAATTGTTTTATATTCATAATGAAGTGTAATTCTTTCAGAAAAGGGTCAGCGAATCCGAAGGATGAGCGCTACTTGTAAATATAAGTATAATTGATCGTAATCTATGTGTTTAAAAACCTTCAATCAATTATCATTGTTAATATGTCATCCATTGAATAAGAGCAGGGAAATCAGCTATAGTGAATGAAGGACGACGATCATCAAATATGAGAGTGTCCATGTTGACGATGAAGAGTAAGAAATGTTCGAGGTGATATTGCCGGTCGTCTACGATAAACCATTGAAATAAGAGTTGATTTACCATCCTTTGGATAACCAACAAATCTAAATTGTTTTTTTTTTATTAAAATACTTAGTGGAATCCCTTTCATAACAATCGATAAGATATGTTTTTTTTATTTAAATTATCTTGTCAGTATGAATATCATTGAGAATAATTGGAAAAAGAATCTTTAACGGGATCGAATTCAAAAGATAACTGTGCGAGTTTAGTCGAGATTAAAGTTGAAAAACAACCGATATAAAGATTAAAAAACAATGTTGATTATAGGTGATGATAGTGCCCTTTTATTAGTCATTTGAGAATGATCCATAAACGGATGTCAACGAAATAAATGAAAACGGTTTTAGAGATCTTGATGTTGAGGCATAGTGTCGGTAGCATTTGATCTAATTCGAGTAGGTTCGTTTTCTAGTGGTCTCGATCTATAGAAAACTATCTGAGAATTAATTTCTATCAGATCTAAAGAAACTATTCAATAGAAGATAATTTCCTTACAATAAAATAATATTAAATTAATCTTTGGGTTCGTTCGGAACAAGTTTTTTTTCTCATGATATCGGGACTAAAATTGCTCCTGTAAAGTTTCACTTCTGATGTTTATCACGATGCGTTTTATCGTTTTTCTTTTTAAGGATTTTTCGGAAAATTTTCAAATTAAATTGATATTGATCAGTAGTTCGAAAGGAAGAGTTTAATCATAAATCTATGAGATAAATTGTCTATCTTAGTCGTTCAATATAAAAAATAAAGAGAATATTATAAGAAATGATATTTTTATCAGGACATTCTCTATCTATGCTTCCTTACCTGCTCTATCTACAAAACGGTCTCGTTTTTTCTGTAACGATATCTTCCCATTCTTTTCACAAAAAAAATTGTTTGACGATACATAATCTAAAGTTAGATATTTATTTCGTTATTCTCTTTGAATATCTTGTTTTATTCAATTGTAGAGCACAAGACAAAATAATTGACTAAATTCTGTCTTGTTTCAATAAATCTATTATATAATATCGGATAGACACATTATACAAACGATAATCACGTTATGCAACTGAAAANATATCGATTTATAAGATTAGATTTAAAATCTGAAAAAAGAAAACGGCAAACTAATAAGTATTTTTAGCGTTCGTTGTTTGATTCTATATATCAATAAAACGACATTGTTTTCTCATATACGATGTTGATTAGTTATTTATTGCTTTTAACGAGATCATCGAATATAGATTGAACATTTATCGATCATTTATGCTTTCTCTCATCTACGAACCAGTTTACAAGAATTATTCTTAAATCAGTCAGTTGACATAGCGTCTTTGTTTTTTTTTATATAAATAAATGTGTAAACCTCGAATTTAAATCGGAGAGTTATCTGTACTTGAAAAAGTGAATGAGACAGATGATTAATCCTAGAATGTCTCGACAAAAAAAAATATCTTGACAAACCTTTTCTATAAACACTTGATTTCTATTGTCTACTGCTCAGCTAATAGGATTTCGAGTCAAGTCGAGTAGAGATTCGAGTTCTCCACCCTAGAAAACCTCAAGGTATCATCTCTCTGATCGGTAGATAGAGCTCTATTTGTGAATGAATTAGAGCGTGGATAAAAACAGAATCGAATTCCATTTAATTATCTTTCCAATAGGTCAGTTAGCTTTCTTGTTTCTTTATGTTTTCTATACCATTTTGTTGCTCGCGAAATTCTCTATCGAATGGTTTCGAATAATTGACCTTTTATTTGACTATGATAGGAAAAGTTTTTTTACGAAAACGGGGATAGATAGATCTTCGCATAGGAAAGCATAAGGAATAATGACTATTTTTCCAAATAACTCAGCAATGGCTCTTGGCCAATCATTCTCATCTTCTTCTCTCGACTGAAATATTGTTGAGACAAAACTGTCTAGAAAATTTCATCGCGATCGGACTCTCCTTTCGAAAGTTATCCTGTAAACGGCCGGATGGACGGACACACTGACCGATTCTAGAGTCTATGAACTTTTTGAGTACACAGAAAAAAGTGTTTACTTGACATGAAATGATTTGAGGTGGAGGTTTGTTATATTGATTGGAATTGGTCGGAAGTTGTACAAGTGCATCGAATTGACTAATTAATTGTTGAATATATTGAAATCGACGTTTTTGACTAAGATTTAATAGTGAATTAATTCTATTAGAAAAAGATGATATTTGTACTTTATCAATTAAATAAAAAGAGAATAAAAAAATATCTTATTATTAAATGGATTAAAATAGGGTGTGGGTGTGGGTGTGGGTGTGGGTGTGGGTGTGGGTGTGGGGGTGGGTGTGGGTGTGGGTGTGGGTGTGGGTGTGGGTGTGTGGGTGTGGGTGTGGATTTTATTCTATTGTCTCATGTACGCACACTCAAACTTATACCCGCCCACATCAACACCCACACCCACACCCTATTTTAATCCATTTAATAATAAGATA